TTTTGTGCTATGGTTGTTAAGTTTGGTATCAGGGTTATGCTAGTTTAATAAAGGAAATGATATAAATTAAAAAATAAGAGGTTTCTTTTTCTATTTTTTGAATCAGTTTAAACAACTTCTATTTTTGTTTGCAGAATTGTTTTTTTTATCCTTTTTCTTTAAAAAAATAGACTTTAACTTTGAGCAGTTTTGGGTTCACAGAAAAATTGAATGGAAGCTACAGAGATTTCCCTCCCACCCAGCCTCCGCTATATACATTTGTTATAATCAATGAACCTACATTAACACATAATTGTCACCCAAAGTCCATAGTTTACATGAAGGTTCGTGCTTGGTCGTGCATATTCTATGGGTTTGGGCAAATGTATGATGACATGTATCCACCATTATAGTGCTTTATGCAATAGTTTCACTGCCCTAAAAAATCCTATGTGTTCTACCTCCTCCCTTCTTCTAGCCCCCGGCAACCACTGATCTTTTTCCTGTCTCTATAATTTTGCCTTTTCCAGAATGTCATATTGTCACACTTGTCATATGCAGTTTTTTCAGATTGGCTTCTTTCACTTAGTAATATGCATTTAAACTTCTTCCATGTTTTCTCATGACTTGATAGCTTGTTTCCTTTAAGCAAAAAATAATATTCTATTCATCTGAATGTACCACAGTTTGTTTATTCATTCAGCTACTGAAGGACATGTCAGTTGCTTCCAAGTTTTGGCAATTATGAATAAAGCTACTCCAGCCTGAGCAAGACTGAGACCCCATCTCTACTAAAAGTAGAAAAATTAGCCAGGTGTCATGGCACGCACCTGTAGTCCCAGCTACTCGGGAGGCTGAAGCAGGAGTATTGCTTGAGCTCAGGAGTTTGAGGTTGCTGTGAGCTAGGCTGATGCCACGGCACTCTACTCAAGACAACAGAATGAGACTCTGTCTCAAAAAAAAAAAAAAAAAGAATAAAGATGCTATAAACATACATATGTAGATTTTTGTTGGACATAAATTTTCAACCCATTTGGGTAAATTCCAAAGAGTGTGATTCCTGGATTGTACGGTAGAGTGTTTAGTTTTATGTGAAACTGTCAGGCTGTTTTCCATAGTGGCTGTACCATTTTGCTTTTCTTTATCCTTTTAATGTTAAATTTTCACCTGGATATACCTACATGACCTGGCCTCTTTAAATAGTTTGCCTATTACTAACTGCACCTTTTGATCTAAAGACTTAATTCTTCAGGTCAGGAAGTTTTCTTTATTTCTTTAATGACTATTTCTCCATGAGCTCTGTTCTCTGCTTCTAAAATGTCTATTATACAAGTATATTTGATTTTTGCACTTTTCTTCTCTTTTGCTTTCTTTTAATCTCTTCTTTATTTATTTATTTATTTATTTCAGAGTTATAGGGAAGGTTCTCAAAGCAGTCTTGACTGATTCGGTTTTTAATCTAAAACAAACTTCTTGCTTTTACATATTTTCCCATATTCATATATAGGTTGACCTTTGGAATCGTACTTAGAATATAAATTAGGGAATTTTACTGTTCTTAGATTCTAGTAACCCTAGTGATAAAGATACAACACCTTTTATCTTTTTTCATATGTCTAATAATTTTTCTTTATTTGCTCACTTTCTGGAGGGACCTAGATCTAGTTTATTTAGGATTGGGATTTGAAACGGCTTCTATAAAAGATTACGTAGATCATTTTCAAGCATGTTGGTTCCAGACAATGGGGAAAGAAGAAATATTGATTATAGTTTAATTTTCTAGACTGGGAAATCCAATTGACCATGATTAGGGCAGGCAGAGCTTCCGAGAAGAGGAGAGAAGTTGGCTTCTGTGCTGGGCAACTTCTTTTCAGCATTTGCTGAGCCAGCCCCAGGTTGACTAGAGGAATTTCTCCCTTCTCTAACTGGCGTGAGCACCCAGGTTAGGGACCTGCTGGCCAATGTCCCTGCTTTCTGTGCAAAGCAAAAGACGGGCTGAGCCTTGGCCAACTTCTCTGTGAGCAGACACTTGCAATTCCCAAGGTTGCTGAATTTGTTTCTGGCCTGTGCCCAACTCACCCTTGTTCCTACTTCCAGCTGTCTGTTGTGGGGCTTTACGGAGGCTCCTCTGAGGCATATCCTCCCTTACTTCCCAGGAGTGCCCTTCCTAAGTCAATATGTACATCAGCTTGGTTCCAATTGCACTCCATCTTGCCGAAATTCGTTAAGGTTTATGCAACTCTTTACTGATTTCAGGTGTGGAATAGTATCTTTCATCTTTTAATTTATTTTCCCATTTCAATGGGAATTTGGAATAGAGAGGAGTTAAATGTATGGGATCAAATTATGATCTAGAAGTAAGAATCAGGATACCGTAACTTTCCACAGAATACAGAACTGATTTATTTACAGTGTCACCACTAGGTGGTGCCACCAATTAGTGAAAACAATGTGATTGCTATTGCTGGACAACCAAGAACCACCTGCAGCTAGTACAAGCAGTAAGTTTGTGAGCTCGTCTGGAACTTGTATGCACGTGTGCATAAGTACATGAGTGTGGGCACGCGCAGTTGCTGGTGTAATGTTGATTGACACGTGTACATATGCATGCAGGTGTATTCATGAGCCCGTGCACCCTGGAAAGCATGGGCATGAAGCTAAATGATAAGACCTTACCCATCAAAAGGCTTGCCCATCAGCCCGTGGTCTGGAACTCCCGTTCCTTAGCGAGGAAGGCTGCTTGCGGAGTGTGCAGAGGGCCACATCCTGGGGGAGAAAGACAACGACAAGGTCACAGAACAGCTTTCCTGAGGCAGGGAATCCATCAGTCCTGCAAGCCCGTGTGTCCAGTCAAGCTTCCAGGAAGGTTTCAGTCACTTCTGAAGTCACGCGGAGGACTGTAGTCTCAATGCCTGGCCTCCTCGTCCCACGTGCCCAAAGCATCTAGTAAAATGTCCGCCTTGGGATCCTGTCTTCTGTCTAGATGGGAACTGAAACTGCACCTAAGAAAATAGTTATTGTGTATGTGGGGGGTCCCCCCAATCCCTGCCCCTCAGGCTCATCCACACCCACACATCCTCTTCCCGTTGTCTCTGTGGAAGGCCCTCTCACTGCAGCACTGCTGCTGTATTGAGTACCGGCTGTGTACAATAGCCCACAAAGCTGGGGGAATTTAGTCGCATCCCTCCCCTTCTTTGGGTTTCCCTGTCTCTCAGTGAGGGCTGGGTCTGGGTGGTTCCAAGGGCCATTCGCGCTGACTGAAGTTCAAGTCCACGGGTTGCAGGCCCCTTCCCCCACTCCAGTGGCTGGTGTGGAGTGGGAGTCTCCTTGGAGAAGTTCTGAAGAAGAAAATTCCATTTGACTTCCTCCTCCTCCTCCTTAGAGCAGACTTCCCTCCTTAACTTCCCCCTGTGGGAAGGCAGCTGGGCTCCCCAGGCCCCAGCATTCTGCAGGAGGAATTCTTACTCCAGGATCATTAAAAGTTCAAGTGACTTCCCCCAGGGCCAAAGAAGCCCTAAGATTCATTAGACCTGCTGTCTCCTGAGCCCAATTTGGTTGAAGGGAATGCGTAGCCTTTTCGTCCATTGAGGGTTTGCCCTAAGGGTTCAAGGCCTCCCTGAGAGAACTCTGTTAGGATTGAGTCAGAGGGGGAAGGGTCCCTGGAGGTCATCTCTTGCCCAGGGACTCGTACAGAGGAGGAGACAGGCTGGGTCAGGGGAAGGGGTTTGCCCAAGTTCCCTGGGGTGGAGTTGCTGCCAGAGCTTGCAGCAGCCTTAGCAGCGTCGCTGGTGCCTGCAGACATCCCTCCAGGTGGCAGGGAGATGCGCACAGACCCAGGAGGACCCTGGAGGGAGGGGCAGGGACACAGCCTGGGGGACCCCTGGGGAGCCACAGAGCTGGGGCTTTGGGGGCCCCACTGTGTGTGAGGAAGAGCTTCAAGAACAGCCCAACAAGCACACAGCAGAAAGGTCTGCCCAGGGAGAGTGAGCACCTGTCCCTGAGGCCTGGGAACAGGATGGGAGGAATGCTTCCTTGTGAGGAACTCAGGGACTTAGGACCAGGAGGGGGAGGAGAGGGGTGACTGCTCAGATCCTGGCCACTGTGTACTTTCTCCACCAGGCAGGAATGGCATTCACAGCTGCTGGGCAGGGAGCGTGGGGCAGAGCAAGGGGCATACCCTTTATGGCCAATTGAGACTGTTGAACTGGGAACCAGGAGGCTGGGACTGGGGCCTGGCCTACGAGCCCAGCGGCCTCCTTCCTGGCTCCCAGCAACCTGGGGCTGACACCCAGGCCCTCTTGCCTCCCAGGCCCAGGAGGGCGGAGGACCTCACCAGATGGCGAAAGTCTGCCTGCGGTGCCTCCCTGAACTCAGGATAATTCACTTGACAGAACCTGACTCTTAGCCCCGGAGGACTCTGGGCTACAGGATGGGAATCACAGACTCTCAGACGACAATGTCTCCCATGTAATCTAGTCCGAATCCACTGCAATAGTATCAATGGCAAGCATGTGACAGGGAACGGTTTAAGTGCTTTATGTGTCTTAACTCCTTTAATCCTCAGAAAACCCTACAAGGAAGGTAGTATTAGCCATATCACAGAAGAGGAAACTGAGGCACAAAGAGGTTAAGTAACTTGTGCACAATCACAGAGCAAGTGAGTTGTGTGGTTCCACAGCCCATGTTCTTAATCTTCGTGCTATCCTATCCCTACAGGAGGAAACTGAAGCCCAGAGTGGGGACGTCCCTTAGCCAGGTGGCAGAGTGGAGCAGGCCTCGACTTCTTACTTCTACACTCAGGGCTCTTCCCTCAACCATACCAGGTCTGACAGTGCCTCTGTCTCTTCCCGGCCTCCCTGTCAGGCCTCCGCAGGGTTAACGGCGGCCCGGCCCGGCCCTTGGCAGGCAGCTCCAGTCCAAACAGACTTCGCCCACATTCCCTGGCTGCTGTCCAGCCCAAAGGAGCTGAGACAACAACGTCCAGTGGCTGTGAGGGCTGAGCAGAGGCTGAGCGGGGAGCCATGAGCAGCGAGGGCCCATCCAGCTCCCAGGTGCTAGGCCTCCTGGGGAGCACGGCCCTCGCGGGATGGATCGTAGGCGCTGCGGTGGCTGTCCTGCTGCTGCTGCTGCTGCTGGCCACTTGCCTTTTCCATGGACGGCAGGACCATGACGTGGAGAGGAACCGTCCAGTTGCAGGGGGAAACCGAGTCCGGTGGGCCCAGCCGTGGCTCTTCCGGCGCCAGGGCCACCCAGGAAACTTTCACCTTCACCATCACCATCCTCGTGGCCATGTGTCTCACATGCGGAACGCGGGCTTCCCTCATCACCACCTCCACCATGCTCCTCACCACCCCCACGCCCACCACCCCCACCGCCAGCACTTCCGCCATGCTCGCTGAGGCTGCCACCGCGGATACCATCCCTGCCGTCCCTGCCATCCGTTGCCAGGACAAGTGGACCCACCGTGTAGAAGGATGCATCTCTGGGGTGAATGAGGGGTACTGTGACCTGGGTCCTGCTGGGGCTTCATTTGCATACTATGCCCCAGTGCACCGAGGGACACTGGGGGGCCCTGCAGACACTGGGGAATTTGGGGGTGGAGAGCGGGGCTGGTCCTTTGGCACTGGACACCCACCTTGTGACTATACCTCCCAGTGGGCCCCAGAAGTCACAAGGGTGTCTTGGCAGAGCCAGTGCACAGGTGGGTGTGCTCATCTTCCGATTTCCTCAAGAGGCAGCTGCAAGCCTCTCAGGCAGTCACCGGAGAGGCCCCTAGACTGCACTTTCGGTTTCTAGAAGGCAGTAGGGGCTCACAGTCAATTCATTCGTACCTTAGTCCAGGAAAATAAAAACCACTAAGAAGCTTTTGCGAAGAGGCTCTTGATTGCGACACAGTGGGAGGGAGGGAGCCGCCAGGCCTGCAGCTGTGTTGCCCTGGGACCTCCCTCTCTGATGGGAAGTACTTGCCTGGGGCTCGGTGCTGGCTGAACTGGGTGGGCTCTGCCTGAGCCCCGAGGAGGATTCAGGAATTGCACGAATTCCTTCCCAGGGAAGGCCCTCTGTGCACCAGAGTGGCTGTGGCCTTCTCTGTGTCCGTCTGGGGCCTCGGAGCAGTGTGGGAGCCCCTGAGCCTGGCTCCCCAGGGCTCTACTGTCCTTTTTCCAGCCCATGTCCAGGGCACACTGAGCTCGGGATTCAGGGAAGCCCCACTCCACAGGCTGCGTGGAATTCAGTTTCCTTGGCCAGGGTTAGCCCAGCCTGAGTCTCTAGCCAGCCTGCCCCTAGCTGGTGCCTATATGTGTGGGGCAGGTTAGGAGGGAGGGCATGGAGTTCTTGAAACAGGAGGATGGGGTGCTGGCATGCTGGGGTGCTGGGTGCCCTCAGGAGAGTGCTTGCCTCTCTGGGTCTCGGTTTCCTCATCCCTAAAATGGGATGGCTAAGAAAGACTCCCCCGTGCCAAATCCCTCTTGTTCCCAAATGCTCTATGAACAACTGGTGGAATCCACGGTGAGGAAGGAGGTCTGGTTCTGAGGCTCCAACCTGTGCCTGTGAGCTGGGTGGGCAGTGCAGGGAGAACAGGCCTGGGGGCCAGGAGAGCAGCAGGCAGGGCTGGGGAGCTGGCCAGGAAGTCAGGGGCCTGGTGACTCCCTGGAACGGAATGTCCTCTTTCCTTGCTATTTCCTAGTAGATTCTCTGTGAGGGCTGGAGGAGGGGGAGTGAGGGGGACAGACACAAATTCGCCCTCGGTTTCTGAGATGGGAAGTACATTGTTGATTCTATCTCTGCAGTGTCCCTTGAGTCCAGCCAGAAGCATCTCCATCCTGATTTTACAGATGAATCAAATCAGGGTAAAAGGTTCCTCCAAATCTCAGAAATGGAAAAGGAAACCTATAAAGGCAGAAGACAGCAGGGCTGAGCCATCGTCCTTCATTCTAGTTGAACGATTCGGCACCATTCACACCCACAGCAGGCGGCCTACAGCTGCATGTACCCACGAAGAACAGGCAAAGAAGAAGTCAAAGGAACACATGATCAGGCTTGAAACACAGCACCCTGGTGCTCTCTGTCTCCCAAACTGATGCTGGCAATTCAATCGGAAACACAGGCACAGATGAGCTCATCGTTTCCTTCCCTCCGCTTCTGGATGCCCAGTTCATACCAGTAACCCAGGGAGTCTGCCTCCTGTCACGGCCCACAGCGGGCTCCACGCGGGAGGGCCCAAGGCCCGCACCACCCAGTCACCTTAGCCAAGGGAAAGAAAGAGAATATGACAGGGCATCATTTTCTCTGAAAAGTCAACTCTCCCATTCTGTGCGTAGGAGTTTCTTAACCATGGTTCTAAAGAAAGTTCCCTCGGGCCTTGGAGAAATTGAAAAGGACCCAGGCTGTGTGACCTCGGGCCAGCCCTCTCCCTTTCTGGGCCTTTCTTTGGACCCTGAGCAGTAAAACTGCACAATCAGGTGATCACTGCGTGGTCAAGTGGTACCTGGAAGCACGTGGTACCTGAGCTAGGAGTGGCGGGGGGGTGGGG